TTTTTCAGTGTTGGTCCTTGCATCATCTATGTCATTTTGAAGTAAACTGTGCTGCTGCAGCACAAAAACATCAGCAGGCACCAGAACTGAATGGGTTGGCTGTCTTGGTTTAAACCAGGAGGGAGAACCTTTTTTGAGCCAGTCGGGGGCCATACGCAAGTGAGAAGCAAAAACAAAAAACAAAAAAACTTTCCCTCACTGATGTGGTCCTGAACTGAGGAGAAAGACATGCCCCACATTCCCCTTGCAACACCAGAGCCTAAGGGGCCCCAGCCTAGTAGATTATGTGTGCTCCAGCCCCACGGTGGGGCAGCAGAGGGGCAGGAGCACTAGTGCAAGCTCCTCAATGCTGGGGAGGGGACCCTGAGCCTCATGCGCCGGATGTAGGCAAGTCAGGGGCCACATCTGGCCCCCAGGCCTGAGGTTCCCCACCCCTGGTTTAAACTAACAACAGCTATAGTAATTAGTCACGCTGTAGGACAACCTCCTCATATTTTATGTCACTGAAAACATAAAACTGAATGGCCCAAAAGGGTGGTTGAGAGAAAGAATGGTCTTTTGGTCAAAGCAATAGCAAGAGACTCAGGTCCAGATTCAAGCTTTCAGCTCTGCCTTAGGCTTCCTGAGTTGGCTGAGGACCTCTGTGCCTCAGTTCCTCATCTGTAAAATGGGGTTAATAATGGTCTCTTTCATTTATTTATTTTTATTTTTTACACTATAACTCCTTCAAGCCAAAGATCATCTCTTAGGCCTAGTCTACACTAAAGGGGAAGGTCAACTTAAGATACTCAACTTCAGCTACGTAAATTATGTAGTCAGAGTTGACATATTTTAAATCAGCATCCACACAGCAGGAAGTCAACGGGAACAAATGCTCCTGCCGGCTTCCCTTTCTCCTCATAGGAGCAGGAGTACAGATGCTGACGGGTGCATCCTCTTCGTTTGAACTAATGGATCTTCACTAGATCCGCTACATTGAACCCTGGAAGATCGACTGCAGCAGTGTCAATCTTTCACAGGAGTGTGAAAAAACATTCCCCGAGTGACGTAAATTTAGCTGGCAGAAGCGGTAGTATGAACAGTGCTATGTTGGTAGGAGAATTTCTAATTATGACAACTGGAGAGCTCTCTCCTATCGTCATCAAGCTGCTATGTGACAGATCTTACAGTGGTAGAGCTGCATTTGTAGCAGTGCTGCTCTAAAGTCTCTAGTGTAGACATAGCTGAGTCTCTTGTGGACTGTGGGATGAGGTTTATCGGGGAGGTCGACAAATGCCTTTGATGTCGACCGTGGAGTGTCCAGACTAGTGCACTGAGCCGAAAAACAGCTGATCGGCACAACGCGGCAGCCATTTAAATTTAAATGAAGCGGCGATTATTTAAATCGCCGCTTCATTTTCCTATGCTGGGTAACTTAATCTACATGCTTCTGTCGACAGAGGCATGTAGTCTAGACATACCCGTAGTGTAGACATGGCGTTCGTGTGTGGATCGGTCTAGCACCTGGCACTGTGAGGTCCAGATCTCAGTTGGTGCTTGGAAGTGCTACTGTAGTACAGATAAATAAGAATTTAGGGAGGCGGGGTCAGCTTTACTGTTGAATTTCCTGATGTACAGCCCAATACAATGCATGGCTACTCTAATACTTAGATGTGTTTTCTCTTCCTTGGGCAGGGAGGGCTTTTGATACTGAAGCCAATGGGAGGTTTCCCTTTGACTTCAGTAGGAGCAGAAATTGGCTGAAGTACTGATGTAAGTCAGGATGTGAGACTTCCTCCTTGAAGGCTGGAACTTCTTTTTCCAGCGGGATTGAAAATAGAGCAGGAATCAAATCGGACATAAAAATGGGCAAGAACAGATACGGCGGTCGCCAAAGGATATGGAGAGACACTGAGCATGTCAACTTCCATTGGCTTCACCAGGAGGCCAACATTCGCCTCTCCTCCCAGGAGTGCTCAGCACCTCCCAGGACTGCACCCTGAATGCATAATCATCACTTCCAGTGTCAAAGCCATGTGACTTCCTTCCTTGCTCGTAGCCGGTGCAGCTGCTTTGCAGCCATTAAAGACTATTGTGCAAACAAACAACAGACTTCCAGAGAAAATGGGTATTATTTACCTAGTGGGTGTAATGGTCCTGGGGGAGCAATTACAATTGTTTGCATAGTCCTGCAAGGCTGATTTGGAAACCTCAGTGTTGCTGAGGGGGAGGGAGAGCATCAACAGGTTTTTTTGATTAATTATCCACCCAGAGAATGATCCCACTCCACTGAAGTCAATGGGAGTTTTGCCATATATGATTATAAGTCAGTTCTCTAATATCACTAAACATATTTCCTCTCTCTTGGGTGGGGAGAACTTTGGCCACCAACATCAGTAGGAATAAGAACAGACCCCTAATCACCATGGGTATGTCTCCACTACAAAGTTAATTCGAACTAACTCTCTAATATCACTAAACATATTTCCTCTCTCTTGGGTGGGGAGAACTTTGGCCACCAACATCAGTAGGAATAAGAACAGACCCCTAATCACCATGGGTATGTCTCCACTACAAAGTTAATTCGAACTAACGGACGTTAGTTCGAATTAACTTTGATAGGCGCTACACTAGTGCTCCGCTAGTTCGAACTTAATTCGAACTAGCGGAGCGCTTAGTTCGAACTAGGTAAACCTCATTCTACGAGGACTAAGCCTAGTTCGAACTTACTAGTTCGAATTAAGGGCTCTGTAGCCCCTTAATTCGAACTAGTGGGAGGCTAGCCCTCCCCAGCTTTCCCTGGTGGCCACTCTGGCCAACACCAGGATGGCCGGGACCCAGCCCCCCACTGCCCCCCAGCCCTCCGCCTCTTCCCGGGACCAGGCTGGCGGCTCCCGGGAGCCTGCCCGGGGCCGCAAGAGGTGGGCGCCCGCCTGGTCTAGTGCAGACATCGTGGACCTCGTCCACGATCTCCGCACTAGGCACAGGAAAGTGGCCGTCTAGGGCAGGATAGCTGCCAGCCTGGCCACCCAGGAGCAGGTTGGCATGAAAATCAAGGTGGTCCACTGAGACCCCGACCCTGAGCTTACAATGGCCAT